AGGAATGATTACAGAAGGTCATCGTATATAGGTGCGGAGAACACTGAAGAACTCACAGCTTGTCAATCCAGACCTGGGCTGTGGAGGCTCACTGGACCTGAGTGTTGTTCACATCACCTAATGTAATTATTTGACCTTGGACAAACCAGCCTCTTGGAGGCTCAGTTTCTTATCTGAAAAATGGAGTAATAAGAGCAGTTTATGGCAGTGGCATTAGGAATAAGTGAGTTAATATGTGAAAGCACTTAATACAGTACTTGCCAAATTTTAGTTTTATTGGTTGATAGTTCAGTTAGGTTCAGCCCCATGCCTCAGTATCAGGTTATGCAATAAAATTTTCCTTTACCTAATGGAGAGAATCTGAATTCACTTCTTGGCTATTGATGCTCCAAAGCTTTCAAGCTTTTCAAATTCTAGTACTGAAGTCTCAGATTTGCTGTACTTCTCAGTTAGCTCTCAACAGACTTTTTTATTGTTCTTTTTGTTCCCATGCAATCTGACTTTTGTCTTCCTGCAGCTTTCCTACCTGAATTCTCCGTTCTTGAGTGACTCCTAATCATTTGCCATTGTAGCTTGTAAGTCTCTTGGCCTCTTCCTCAAATCTTGATCTTGTGTGTCATTTTCTTTCCAGTCCCCGAGTCTGCCATCTCAGAGCAAGGTCTTGGCGCTTTGTACCTTATTGTGGCAGTAACAGCTTCACTTCCATTCTCCCATCCCAGATTCCCGTTTGCCCTGGAGCACACGTATACCGTTCAACTCGGAACATGCTGCTCCTCTCAACTATTTACTTTACATATGAAGTCTGCAGTCCTTAATTTGGTATGCAAGGCCTTTTTAAATCTGAAATGTAAGATCCTCATCCTCTTCAACTTCCCTCATCCTCTTTCTGCCTGTGCAGTTAGACCGCACTGTAGAATCATAGCTTATTAGAGCTGAAGGGGCCTCAAGAACCCTCCAGATCAGTCTTTCCCAAATTTGTGTTTTCTTTTTGTTAATCCTCAGCTGAGGATATTTTTTCCATTGATTTTTAGAGATAGTGGAAGGGAGGGAGGAAGAGAAAGAGAGAGAAATATCAATGTGAGAGAGACACATTTTTTTAAAATATATTTTTTATTGATTTCAGAGAGGAAGGGAGTGGAAGAGAGAAATAGAAACATCAATAATGAGAATCATTGATCGGCTGCCTCCTGCACGCCTCCTACTGGGGATCGAGTCTTAACCCAGACATCTGCCCTTGACCGGAATCGAACCCGGGACCTTTTGGTCTGCAGGTTGATGCTCTATTTACTGATCCATACTGGCCTGGGCGAGAGAGACACATTGATTTGTTTCCTCCCACACATGTCCTATCAGGGCCAAGGATCAAACTTGCAACCCAAGTACGTGCCCTTGACTGAAAATCGAACCTGCGACCCTTCGGTGCATGGGCCAATGCTCTAACCACTGTGAAACTCTGGCCAGGGTCCCAAGTTTGTCTTTTCATTCAGAAAAGGCTTCAGCAGCCAGACAGTCAGAAGATACTGTCTCTTCACCTCTCCAGCCTTGGGACCTGCTTAACAGTTAATCATGGAACTCTTTTTTTGTTTTGTCAGGATGGGGGTCAGGTCAAAGCTTTATAAAATGCTAATCTAGTCTAGTCTTGGTCTTGGAGATACAGAAACAGAGTCCTAACAGGAGGAAAGCAACTTGATTTAAGATCTTGTAGTGCAGAAACTGGGGCTAGAACCTCCCTCGATTGAGTTAAAGCCTAGTGGAATTTTTTAATGTTTATCTTATACTATTTAATATGTAATTCTAAAAGCCCTGACTTCAGTTACTCAACCCATGTCCAAATTGTTTCATCTGTATCCCACCCACTTCACCTACTGCTCTATAAACTGGATTATTTTAAAGCAAATCTTAATCTCTCAGACATCTTATCATGATGAATTCCTAAATACCTAAATTAAACTCTTATCAACTACAATGCCATTATCATATCTAAAACTAGAGGCCCATGCACGAAATTTGTGCTAGGGGGGAGGGGGGCCCTCAGCCAAGCCTGTGCCCTTTCACAGTCCAGGCGCCCTCAGGGGATGTCCGACTACATTTTTAAAAAATCACCCTGTACTTAATTTTCTTACTAACTCCTCCTTTTAAACTCCCCTCACTCTCACATTCTGCTTCTTCTTTTGATTTAACTATTTTCCTGGCATCACCACATTTTAACATCCTTCTCTTTCCTGCTTTCTTTCCCTCCCTCCCTCCCTCTGAACCTCCTGCGCCCCCTCCCTCCCTCCCTCCTCCCTTCTCTCCCTTCATTCCCCATGTCAGTCTCCTTCTTACTCCTCCCACCCTCCCCTGCCCATTAGCCTTTCCCTTGTGAGCCTGAACCCTGCCTCCCTCCTTCCTTCCCTATTATTACCCCCCACCCACCCCGTACCCCTGCCATGTTCACTGGTTTCTCTTTTAAACCTTCCCCTTTCCTTTCTGGGACCTGCTTCCAGCCCCATCTGAGCGCACTTTGATATTAAAGCTTCTGTTTGGGGGCGTTAGCCCCAGTCCAGGGCCAAGCCGCGGCCAGGCCTTTGCCATCCCCCCTTCCCCAGCCTCCCTGCCCGGGCCGCCCCATCTTCTAGTCAACAAAGTACACTTAATGTGCCACCCCACCGCCCCCCTCCGGTGGCCACCGCCCTCCTCCCACGTCTGGGCCGGGCTCCCTGCTCCAAGTCACCTGCGCCCCACCCCTCGCTGGGCACAGCTGCCCCACCCCCCCTCGGCCGAAGGTGAAGCCAGCCTGCCCCGATTTCCTCCAATGATTTTTAAAGAACAATTTGCCCTGGCCGGTTTGGCCCAGTGGATAGAACCTCAGCCTGCGGACTGAGGGGTCCTGGATTTGATTCCGGTCAGGATTCGATTCATGCCCAACACGGGGCATGTAGGAGGCAGCCGATCAGATCAATGATTCTCTCATCATTGATGTGTCCATCTCTTCTCACTCTCTCTTCCTCTAGTTAGCACTGGAGTTGTCAACAGGGAGTCAAATCCACGACCCATCAGTACAAGGGCCGACACTCTATCCACTACGAAACAGGTCCTGGCACAAATTCTGTGTTTTTAAGTATGCCTGGCAGAGGTAATGCAGGATGGAAAAATTGCCCTTTGGTCCCTGCAGTTGGGAGCGTTCGTGGTCACTGTGCAAGGGCCCTGGACAATTCATTTAATTGCCTTTAAAAAAAAATTCTTTAGGCGGGTCAGAGGGCGCAGGCGCGGGGCCTCAGACTTCGGGCCCGCAGGCGCCAGCTTGGAGCCCAGGAGGTCAAGCGGGTGGCGCAGTCCAGT